CATTGCATTATACACACCAGACGTGTTTTATGCGTTCAGCTTTCATATTTAAACTCGTGACAAGTAATCCATATTCTTCATTAACTCACTAACAATTCATGAAGCGATATCTGTCGCTGGAAATGTGGTCAACATCATGTACCAAATCGTGCATGTTATCACCCGTGTTCACTTCGTGTACTGTAGTTTGGATAATTATCCTAAACATAAAGTGTTAATGATGAGACGTGAATAATTGCAATCCTCAAAATTTGTTATGACACTGCATTTATTGATTTTGACAAATTCTATAATCATAATAACAAAATCATGAACAAAAAATATCCCCTTGATATTCTATTGCATTGTAGATCAACAAAAGTTTTATTTCCACAGTTTAACATTGTGATACCTTCAATGAACTTAAATTTGACCATACGCCAAGCTCAACATCATTCACATAAAATGACTGGATATGATCTCATTTTTAGATGGTAAGCTAAAGGTCATTCAATCAGCCCACTCATATGATGTAATTCATTTAATCACTTGCCATAATATGTCATACACGAACTAGTGCAGTCATTTATTCTGAAAATCATAATGGTCTTGTGTATAGTTACACTACGAAAATCTACATAATTATAATCATCCGAATAAACGTTTCCTGAATAATGTGACATGTAATTGTCCAGGTGAACTGGATAGGTTACTGGTTGTGTTAAACAACTAGAAACTAGTTTTTTACCAGCTGATTATCCTCAACATCATTTCAAGTTTAGAATTACCAAGAAGATTACTAACTGTTATGAATTGATGATAAAATACATGACGCTTAACAACACTTAAAGTCAGTTCAATCGCTTCTCTCAACTGAGCTCCAATGGTGTTTGAGATTTGTCATAGTATGGAATGCATGCATGTTTGAAATGTGTGGAATACCTGTTCAAGTACAATCATTTATAGTGTCGATATGTGTCACCTGGCTTTTGGATGATAGGTGGCGTTAGACAATTGAGATTGAATGGTGGACCGGTGAATCTCGGTAATATGCATTCTTCGAATACCCACCTACCGAATCTACAGAATGACATTTAATTTTAGTGAGGAAGGCACAATCTGCTCACTTATACGTTATTGTTTGGTTAAAATATTTGATAATAAGTTCCAAGTGTATCGCAATGCGCCGACGAAATAAACACGCCAGTCCGTACAAACTAAGTCGTACAGTTCATCGTCATTTAGAAGTTTTATTATCCATTCTTTTTAATTCAAAACTGGCTGAAAGTAACCATGAAAATAGTCTGATGTCGGTTCAGAAGTTCAGAGGTTGGAAGCCTTCCACAACATCTGACATTTTAAAAACTAACCATCGGTGAGGTTTTTGATGCCAAACTCTGAGAAGTCGTATCATCGAACTAAACAGCCAACATACGCGTTGAAGTTTCGAGTGTGTTATTGAAAAATAACATTTGCTGTACTCAAAATTTTTCGATTGCATCACAAGATAATGCAATTTATGTGGAGGTCACTAGTAACCTCATGTTTGCTTCATTCAATTGAGATTCGTATTTTTTTATTTACGCGACTTCCAGTTTGAGCGGATTATCAAAATGAATTATCCAAATAACTTGCTTAGATAATTCGTGCAGATTACGGCACATAATTTTGCCTAAAACTGTTCATGTGGGTCCGACTGATACGAAATGTCAACGTGAATGAATTTATAATTGAAATGAAACTGTGAGACAAATAACGGTCAGAATAAATGTGGTCAACATGGCATAAGAGAGAGGCACAAAGAGAGAAAAATGCGAAATATAGTGTTGTATAATACGATTTTATGGAAGGACGAACTTCGTTGAACCGCTTAAGTATATATCAGGTCGATCTAAACATTCTGATCCATAAACGTATTGTACATATATCGGCAGTAAAGTGAAAACTTGTCAGTACTAGTGGAGTGCCTTCTGGTCAGCCATGTAGAATGTCAGCCAATATGTGAAATGAGGGTGAACCAATAGCGACACCATCTAATAGATTAAACATTCCACCAATGAATTTCAAATGTACGTTTGTAGTCTGCATAACCTAGATAAGTGGGTAACTAGCGGACAAATTCTTTCGTCGATGTTTGTTGGAATCACGTGTTGATATCTGAGCTTCGTCAGTGATATATTTAGTTCTATCTATATAATTTGATGACATCCTCTTGTTCATTCTCTTCCTGAAGTTTTTGGTGATTATTCAAGATAATATTGATCTTGTCAAAGAAGTCATTTTTCTTAAGAACAACAGTTGCTCTTTCTTCATGTGATGTCTTGATAATCGAATTCGTAACATTATTGTGTTCGCTGATATCCTGTCTGCGTATTTCAGTCAAAATGCTTCTGTAGTTGTATCTACTATTCATAAACTGACGGCAACATTTTATTAATCTTACAACGTTCGCGTTGTGATTTCTTGCTAACTTCTTAGGTCTATTGTTATTATCCACATTACGTAATCCAGTGTAGCAATCTGTCGATTACGTCATTTTGTTTACTTTTTGTTCACATCTCTTCACAAAACTAGTACTTGGAGGAAAAACGATCATCATAATATGTTTACGATTGAACAGCTTGAAAATAGATTCGATGAAAAGAGATCCCTTCATTGAACTTTCTGTTTTCAATGTGCAATAGATAAAGATTAATGGTCAGCACGGGGTGCGAGAGATTGATGTTATTACAAATTTGAAATAAATGAGCTAAAGTGTGACTGTTAACATTTTCAACGACACCTTTGCTTAATCACAATGAGAGGTGCTCACAAGCCGAATATACATATCACCAAAACATCTCTATTTACGCAACAAGCTGCACAGAAGCAGTTGAATTGATAGATACAGAAAGGAGTGATTAGTTCAGAAAATGTTTTTCAACAACAGAATAATCATTGCATGTGTGGAAAACACTGGTTGTAGTTCGCCTGCGTAAGAAGCTCTTTAGATTAATCTGCGTAACTTTAGACGATATATTTCACTAGGCTCATCGCCTCTAAATTGTGATTATATAGACAGAGGTGTTTTGTTCACGTTTAGGCTTTTGAGTGCATCGATCTATTTAACAGTGGTCTAGCTAACAATAAAGGGTGTAACTGGTAAAACATTATTTATTCGTGGTTACTGACTGACATTAACTGATATTAGTTGGTAGTTACTTCAATTTTGAGCTTCATGGAAATTAGAGCCAGCGCATAGTTGTGGGTGAGGACATGTAAGAACATGTCAGAGTATTTATTGTATTTGAATAGTTCAGTCAGTATAGCCGAACGATCGCTGTATATTATAAAATATCGTCTGCCTACGTGATATTCAGTACTTTTAATTGCAGTATTAGTTATGACTTCACAAATTGTTATTTGGTCTTGCCTTGTCAGTTATTCGGTTTTCTTAGCCATACATGTTGTAGCGATGAAAAAACCTGCGAACTCAGTAGCTCTGTAAGTCTTCGACATTTGATTCTGATCATATCAGTTTTGGTGAGCTGAAAGTGCTCGTTCAATCATCCGAACTAGATCACGATTGCGTAGGCTGTGCTCAACGTCCCCTTCAACCGCTAGACATCTTATGTCCGTCACGTCTCCGTATGTCCATAGCTCATCAAACAAGCTACTGAACCTCCCAGCTTCTCACTTCTGATTTCACTGTGTTGGCAATTTTGGATTATCAAAGATGTGACTGTTTAAGGTTTTGTTATTCTACAAATAACTATGGTATCTTTAATGATCAAAGTGTCTCAAAACATTTCGACGTGATTCGAAACTAATCTCTTGGTAATCGACAAACTTAGTCAACTGAAATGGGTCACACTTTCATACTGAGTTTTTCATTATATCAATAGAAGTGATAGTGTGTATCGTCTATGTACTCATCGTGTCATAAACAAATGTGAGTAGTCGATTCACTCTTGACTTATTATTAGCACTACCAATTCCTTTGTAGTAATATAGTAATAATTGGAAATTCAATTTGCGACTAGTCAATAATATGAATTGTAGTCAGATACAGTTTCTTATCAGTCTACACCTATACATTCACCTTTGATATTGTTGATATCTTATACTGTAAGATGTACTTTGGAATTCAGGAGGCTAAATGTTGGAGAAGAAAATTAATTTGATAAAGACAACTATGATTATTACTTATCACTAATAACATTTTTGTTTCACATTATTGTCAAGATTATTACATTCGATTAAATCATGCTTTATTTCCACTATGATCTCAAACCGCTATCTCTCTCCCACACACACTAATGCACGCTGGTTATTGTTTTTTGTGCTTGTCCAACAATGAAAATCATCGTAATGATTTCCAGATCAACTGACCGTTGGTCAGTGAATGCACTTGGGGAATGAAAGACAACAACGTCTAGGATTTCGTTAAGGAAAATCATTCATTCACAGTATTTATGATGAAATAAAGACAATAAGCAGTAGTATATATAAGTGTGAAATACTGTAGAAGTGTACCTCTATTTACATACACATGTTAATCATCGTTGTTTATTCACGTGTTGGCTCGATGATAAATTATTAGGTCTATTGTTTTTATTCATATTACGTGATCTAGTATTATAACATCACCATTACATAATTTCAATTATTCATCACGAAACCAGTACATTTAGTGAAAATATCTTCATATCTATATACAAATATACAACTTGATAATAAGTCCTTTCAAAAGAGATCTCTTCACTGAATATCGTGTTTTTAAATATCACCGATTGGTTTAGTGCTTGAAAGTGAACGTTGTTCGATGTGTTTACAACGACTGGTATTTACTCCGAGGTAAGCAAGAAATATTCTCAACTACTTGAACGCATTTCTATTCAGCCATTTGAGTTACATCACAGTTTACCTTCAATGACGTTCGTGTGAACTATAAGAAACCCTTAAAAACCTTCAATACTCATTAGTGAATATGTAATATTTATTGACAAAGTTATTTAATATAAATGAAAATTTTCATAGTATCAATAAGTGCTACATATCAAGTAGTCGAAATTCCATATAAGCTCGGTTTATTCAAACTCATTTTTGGGCTTTTTTATATATTGAAATAGTGAATATTTCGATGGAACCTACACCAAAGTGCTCTTTATTCTCATTTCTACTTGTATATGCTTGTATTCCGAAATGAGATACTTGGTTTAAGTTTGAAGGGAGTGGAATAGAATTGTGTCTTCCATGAAAGCCCCGTGTAGATCTGTTAAGTGGTAGTTCGATGCGTTGTCGTCCTCCAGATGTCTATAAAGATTTCATAGAAAACACATTGAATGACTCTACATAACTGAATTTCACATTACCTTGAAGTTTGACTCATATGATACGCAATTTTGTACATCCTCACAGTTTCCATAGAAGATCAGTTTGAAATTGGAATCTAGACCTTGTCTATGTAAATCAATTACAACACCGTCATATGCTGGCAAATCTGAAATATAATTTATCTTGTGGACGCCAGCAAAACTCGATCCATTTGGTCCTGAGTTGAGTAGATAGAAGAAAATGGCTGATTGGTTGTTCTGAACATGGTGTCAGTTAAATTGCATATACAAATTACATTTACCTGTCCATAAAGTGGTACAAGCGTGGCTTTAGATCGTTGAACTTTATCTGAATACTCTATCCAGCCTTCAAATACAGTTTTGTTTTTAGTATCAGTGAAATTGAAAAGGGTTTTGTTGAATAACCCACTTCGATTTAAGTAAGTTTTGTATGACGATTTTCCCTCCATACCGTCGCGAGTATTCAGCAGTAGAGTTGTGAATATTAAAACAACAACGGATGTATTTTTGATCATCATTCGGAGGTGATTCATCTTCAAATTATTTTGAAATATTTGTCTGTAGAGTGAAAAAGAATTTTAATAAAAGTTCAGTTTAGAGGCTGTTATGCGTATTAAGTGAGATAATTGCAGAACATTGCGGATGGTTTGATGTTATACACTGACAACGCGTGGTACAGAAAAGGTGGTCTATGGATGAAGCAAATTCTCACAATGATAACATGTGTTTGGATTCAGAAGTCATCAAAATAACAATATATCGTCTGATATATGTTAGTCAAGATCAATATATTGAAAAATGATTGATTGTTTGACTTTTTACTATTTAAAATCTAAAAGCTCAAAACGATCTTATTGCTCCATCTGTATATGTTAGCACAGAATATAATTAAGATTGACGGAACTTTTTCATCGTATGTTAACTTTCCACTATTCCATGAACCCCATGAGAGAATCAACCTACATATCTCATGTGTTATTTAAGTATTTTGTTGACCAGGTTCACTTGGTCGAATATTTAAATTCCTGTTTCATATGGTGACTACCGATTCCATTTTGCCTAATGCATCGAGCGAATTCCTGAAATGAAGTTTGATAATGCATCGTAATGTATATTGAACAGCTTTTACTACTCATAGAATATTTGGTAAATATATGCGGAGATTGTTCAACTCATAATTTTTCATCAAAGACAAGGTTCAGTTTACATCTGTGCGCGATTCAAGTTCAGTAGATTTGACTTGTTGTCCCGGTATGAACCTCCAGAGCAGTGGTCAACCTTGACTAGTTCAAGAATCATGTTGTGTCTTTAAAGTTAAGATAACCAGTTTGGCCTCTCACAGTACAAAATACTAACTTCAGTCGTTTCTCAACATTACACTACACTAATCCACTGTCAGTGGCAAACTCCACCAGTAATGATGAATTTTTCTAACGAAAATGACGTTTTGTTGTATAAAAATGTTTATATTAGTGACAAATTGTACATCAGCTGTAGTTCATATTTTACAGCTAAATTTCAAAAAGCTACTGAAACTTTATTTGAATACTGAATATTTGAGTAACTTAATTTCAGATTACGATATCACGGCAATTAAGGCGATCACATACCCATTTGCTTTTATACTTTTATTTTTGAAGGAGACTGTCAGTTTCATCTAATCAAGTTATCACAAATCTGATCAGATTCATAATGGTTGTTTTTGACACGAACACAAAGATCAGATGATTAGATACAGTGAACGTGACGTAAATAAAATAATACAAATCTCAATTGAATAAAGCAAACATGAGGTTACTAGTGACATCCACATATATTGCATTATCCTGTGATGCAATCAAAAAATTTTGAGTACAGCAAATGTTATTTTTCAATAACACACATTATCGAGATATCTGATTGAAACAATCACTCGAAACTTCAACGCCTATGTTGGCTGTTTAGTTCGATGATACGACTCCTCAGAGTTTGACATCAAAAACCTCACCGATGGTTAGTTTTAAAAATGTCAGATGTTGTGGAAGGCTTCTAACCTCTGAACTTCTGAACCGACATCAGACTATTTTCATGGTTACCTTCAGTCAGTTTTGAATTAAAAAGAATGGATAATAAAACTTCTAAATGACGATGAACTGTTAGACTTAGTTTGTACGGACTGGCGTGTTTATTTCGTCGAAATGCTGATAAAATTCATCATCAGCTTCTCTAATATGAAATAGTAGTTTCGTTCACAAAATTTGATCAAGACATCTTCCTTCAGTAAATCATAGTAGCAGCAACTTTAAATAACCTAATTATTTATGAAGTATTATTAATAAAGTTCGACTTGATAGTTTCAAATAAACTAAGCAGTGAGTGGACGGTTAATAATGAAAAAAAACTCCAGTGGTAATTATCATTGGTCTAGACTCACGATTATACAACTTATCCGAATAGATCCTCGGTATCCAGCAAAATGATAACAGAATCGAACGTTCGAATTCCATGAAGAACGTTCCGTCTCGAGAAGGAAGAGAGTAAGACTTCTCTCATACTGGCTGCATACACGTGGCTAAGAGACCGCATTTTGAGAGAAAGAGCTAATTATTCTCACTCTCGTCTGTACCAAGGCAAATGTGTACATTGAGTTCATGGTCATACATAAACGTATAGCCCAGGATTATCTATCACAACAACAGCAAAAATGGTGAATCAAAAGTGTGTGGCTGAATCGCTCGTCACTGAAGAACGTTGATTCCAAAATAACACAATCAAAGTGAAATACAAGCGAAGAAATATCGATAGAAACAGTTTCTCCAAATGTTTGGAATCTCATTTTTAGTTTAGGCTGTAGCAAGTCTGACTAACTTTGCACAAACAACATGATCTCCACCAACGGTGCATTGCGATACACTTGGAACTTATTACCAAATATTTTAACCAAACAATGAAGTATAAGTGAGCAGATTGTGCCTTCCTCACTAAAATTAAATGTCATTCTGTAGATTTGGTAGGTGGGTATTCGAAGAATGCATATTACCGAGATTCACCGGTCCACCATTCAATCTCAATTGTCTAACGCCACCTATCATCCAAAAGCCAGGTGACACATATCGACACTATAAATGATTGTACTTGAACAGGTATTCCACACATTTCAAATATGCATGCATTCCATACTATGACAAATCTCAAACACCATTGGAGCTCAGTTGAGAGAAGCGATTGAACTGACTTTAAGTGTTGTTAAGCGTCATGTATTTTATCATCAATTCATAACAGTTAGTAATCTTCTTGGTAATTCTAAACTTGAAATGATGTTGAGGATAATCAGCTGGTAAAAAACTAGTTTCTAGTTGTTTAACACAACCAGTAAGCTTTCCAGTACATCTCGACAATTACATGTCACATTATTCAGGAAACGTTTATTCGGATGATTATAATTATGTAGATTTTCGTAGTGTAACTATACACAAGACCATTATGATTTTCAGAATAAATGACTGCACTAGTTCGTGTATGACATAAAATGGCAAGTCATTAAATGAATTACATCATATGAGTGGGCTGATTGAATGAATTTTAGCTAACTGTCTAAAAATGAGATCATATGCACTCATTTTATGTGGTTGAAGTTGAGCTTGAGCTTACGGTCAAATTTAAGTTCATTGAAGGTATCACAATGTTAAACTGTGGAAATAAAACTTTTGTAACTCCATACGCTGTATCAGCGCAAAAAATTCTGGTTGATCTACAATGCAACAGAATATCAAGGGGATAATTTGTATGCATGATTTTATTATAGAATTTGTCAAAAAGGTTTTATTTATTACATTAATAAATGCAGTGTCACTACAAACTTTGAGAAATGCGACGATTCATGTCTCATCATTATTGCTTGATGTTTAGTATAATGTTCTAGACTACAGTACACGAGATGAACACGTGTGATGACATGCACGAAATATCACTTATTTTTGATCACAATTTTCGTGACAGATATCGCTTCACGATTTGTTATTGATGTGATGAATAATGTTGATTTCATGTCACGAATAAAGATATCAGTCCCGAACGCATAACACACATCTGATGTGTATAATGCAATGAACTATTCCGTAGTAGTTTATTATAAGCTAAGACACAATAAGCAATAACATTTTAACAAATACACGCTTCCCTAATATTTTCGAAATCGCAAATTCATAAGTTCGTCGTTGATAGCACAATGTCATACTGAGAAACGAAATCTGAAATTTATATATCCTGACGCTCAAGTTGTCTGATTTGACTTCTATTCATCTCTCCTGATATTCAGTGGCTTAAGCTATTCAACGCATAATTTAGTGGTTACAAATGAATTGGTGTATCGTAACAGTGGACTGTAAACAAGTATGAACTGATTACATGGATTATGGAATGATGCTGTCAGTTAAGTGCAAGACTCAGCAATCTTTATAAACATCACAAATTCTCTTTAGAATTTTCAAACAGAGACTGATGATACACAGAAATGTTTACATTTGATAAGTCATTCATTTATGGCATCAGACATACTTTTCTCTCGCTTCAAACCATTATGTTCCGATTGAACTCATTTTAATCGAATAGTGATATATTGCCTTACGTATTAGTAGGCAGTTGACCTTCCTCAACATTATATTGCCATCATCCACTTAGGTTTTTTTCTTTGATAAACAGTCAACATCATGAAGTGGTATTCCTTCTATGGAAAGATCAATAGCAATAAGAGTTCGGACAAAAGTATCAAGTAACAAATCATAAGTATTAATTTTAAGCTCTGTGGTTCATCGAGATTTATCTTTAATCTGTTGTGTCCTTCACTATCCCATTCATTGTGTTATTCAGATCGGAACACTATCGAAAGACCACTCAAATTTCAACGTGTCCACATCTGCAATCGAGGCATGCAAATGTCAGTCGGGTTATTCCGAGAATGTTTGTTATTTATGCCGAGAAGTAAGTGACAAGATTGCAAGGAATAACAATGGATCTTGATGCGTACATCAACACAATTCATCTTTTATTGGACTGTTGCTTACATAGCTATATCTCTGTCGATTGAATTCCGGTTATTTATTTACTCTGCAAAGAAATTGCCCACAATTATTCATGAAACGTCAATGATGCAATTCTTCAACTCATTGAGATATAAGAAATGGTACATTTATTATGATCTCTCCTTCCAATACTGATGATTTGCATGCATGAAAGTGTCGCTAAACCTCCAATTAAGCTGACAGTTTTAAGATAAATACATAATGGGGAACCGATAGAGATACATGATGTAACCATCCTCAGTGAATGAAGATAACGAGAAAACAACACCATTTAGTGATAATTTCAAGCCTATTTGTTGATCGATTTTGGTAATAGTTTCATTAATTTTATCAATCTTATTCCATGTTTGTCTTGTCATGACAATGGTTGATGACGATATCCTGAAACCATTATCTTTAACTAATTATAACGTTGATTGAGTATTAGCCAGCTGAAAATATGTATTGTTATTTTCTTTGCCTATGAAATAACGAACGTTTGTGGCGTTAAAGAATCCG